AATCCTTATTTATTTTGTTACTTTAGTAAATTGTGAAAGTCACATTTCACATGTATGCATTCTTCACATATAACCAAGACTTTAGTTTTCTAAAAATTACTGTAAAATATCTCATAAAAAGCACTTTGAAATCACCCCATGTTCATGCAGTTGAATGAGTTATGTGTGAACATTTCGGTCAATCTTATTAGTTTGAAAGGAAAAACAAGATTTTAAGCTCACTTTTTTTACTTTTTTTTCTTTTCTTTTTCTTTTTTTTTTTTTTTTTGAGAGGTTTTTGCTATAGGGCACATGCGCTCGCCAGGAAGGCAGAGAGAGACAGAGAGATAGAAAGCGAGAAATCACCCCTCAGGGAGGATGGCCATGCCGCAATCCCTGCTCCTCCATTCTCCTCTCGGAATCTTGGGTACGCACGCACACGCACCCGGCGTGAGTTTAAGCCACCGGGTCTGGGACTCGAACCGCGGTCGACTACATGGGAGTCCAGCAACATAGCCATTACGCAAACTGCTGGTCCCGAGCTCACTTTTTTAATAGGTGCTAAATATAAGTTTTTAATATAGGGTTCGAGAGTTCAGATTTAATTCTTCATCTTTTACAATTGCTTTATCTCAGACATACTGAAGAAGTGAGTTAAAATGGCACTACCACCGTCCTTTCTGGGAATCTAGCAGTCAATATGTATTTTGCAATGTTTTCTTTTAGTAGACTATCAGTATATTTATTAAATTTATCTACATTTTATTCTTTTCACAGTGTGCCTTTCCTAGCTGTTCATTTCTTTTTGTTCCTGACTGTTTTCAGTAAATATTTTTATACATACTCTATTGATTCTTCTAGGAAAGAGACAGAGAAGAAAGAATAGGGAGGAGAAAGATAATTATAATTTTTAAAACAGAAGTGCATTTTCTGTGATGCTAAAAAATGCTAATACATATTTATACTATTTACTTATGACTTAATAAGCTATTTTACCAATATTATTATTGAAGCAAAGTATGTGTGCGTTTTCTGATGAATAACAGAAATTGTCTGGATTTACACATAAATCAGAATTTAACTAAGTCATCTGATCACCTTAATTTAATAAAACTTTAATGCATTTTATTATGTATGAATACAGGAAAAACTTTATATATATATATATATATGTATATATTATGTATGTTCCATGATATATTCACAAATGCCTTGAATAAAATTGTTTATGTGTCATTGAATTCCACCTTAAATTCGCTTCTTTTAAAAAAGCTATTGGTCTACAACATATTAAAGAGCAAAACAATACCACCATACCAAAATCTTTCCCCTAAATTTATTAGCTCTAGTATTTAAATATATTTCAATACGTGTGGCTTTCTGTCTAAATATAGGTAAATTTTAAACACTAATTAACTTTTTTGATTATGCAGTGCACGTATTTATATTCATTAGATAAGAAACAAAATGACAGCAATAGGAAAATAGATCAGAAATCTAACACTACTTATGTCAAACACACTGATATTAGTTCTTAGCAATATATCTATAAGTATTTTTTGCCATTACTAGAAATACTTATTTTATAGTTATTTTAGAAAACCCATAAGCAACCATAGTATATTAAAAGAGTGGTCATTTTTTTAACTGACCTGTATCTCAAAATGCATCCAAGTACTTTGCAAAAATAATGAGCTCACAAATTGAGATACATTTCATAGTATTAAGTTAAAAGTTAAAAACCAAGAGCTGGGCACAGTATCTCATATCTGTAGGCCCAGTAACTCAGAAAGCTGAGGGACCTTGAGGGGAAAAATATAAAAAAATTTTTTTTGAGAGGTTTTTGCTATAGGGCACATGCGCTCGCCAGGAAGGCAGAGAGAGACAGAGAGATAGAAAGCGAGAAATCACCCCTCAGGGAGGATGGCCATGCCGCAATCCCTTCTCCTCCATTCTCCTCTCGGAATCTTGGGTACGCACGCACACGCACCCGGCGTGAGTTTAAGCCACCGGGTCTGGGACTCGAACCGCGGTCGACTACATGGGAGTCCAGCAACATAGCCATTACGCAAACTGCTGGTCCCGAGCTCACTTTTTTAATAGGTGCTAAATATAAGTTTTTAATATAGGGTTCGAGAGTTCAGATTTAATTCTTCATCTTTTACAATTGCTTTATCTCAGACATACTGAAGAAGTGAGTTAAAATGGCACTACCACCGTCCTTTCTGGGAATCTAGCAGTCAATATGTATTTTGCAATGTTTTCTTTTAGTAGACTATCAGTATATTTATTAAATTTATCTACATTTTATTCTTTTCACAGTGTGCCTTTCCTAGCTGTTCATTTCTTTTTGTTCCTGACTGTTTTCAGTAAATATTTTTATACATACTCTATTGATTCTTCTAGGAAAGAGACAGAGAAGAAAGAATAGGGAGGAGAAAGATAATTATAATTTTTAAAACAGAAGTGCATTTTCTGTGATGCTAAAAAATGCTAATACATATTTATACTATTTACTTATGACTTAATAAGCTATTTTACCAATATTATTATTGAAGCAAAGTATGTGTGCGTTTTCTGATGAATAACAGAAATTGTCTGGATTTACACATAAATCAGAATTTAACTAAGTCATCTGATCACCTTAATTTTATAAAACTTTAATGCATTTTATTATGTATGAATACAGGAAAAACTTTATATATATATATATATATGTATATATTATGTATGTTCCATGATATATTCACAAATGCCTTGAATAAAATTGTTTATGTGTCATTGAATTCCACCTTAAATTCGCTTCTTTTAAAAAAGCTATTGGTCTACTATATATATATATGTATATATTATGAATGTACCATGATATATTCACAAATGCCTTGAATAAAATTGTTTATGTGTCATTGAATTCCACCTTAAATTCGCTTCTTTTAAAAAAGCTATTGGTTTACAACATATTAAAGAGCAAAACAATACCACCATACCAAAATCTTTCCCCTAAATTTATTAGCTCTAGTATTTAAATATATTTCAATACGTGTGGCTTTCTGTCTAAATATAGGTAAATTTTAAACACTAATTAACTTTTTTGATTATGCAGTGCACGTATTTATATTCATTAGATAAGAAACAAAATGACAGCAATAGGAAAATAGATCAGAAATCTAACACTACTTATGTCAAACACACTGATATTAGTTCTTAGCAATATATCTATAAGTATTTTTTGCCATTACTAGAAATACTTATTTTATAGTTATTTTAGAAAACCCATAAGCAACCATAGTATATTAAAAGAGTGGTCATTTTTTTAACTGACCTGTATCTCAAAATGCATCCAAGTACTTTGCAAAAATAATGAGCTCACAAATTGAGATACATTTCATAGTATTAAGTTAAAAGTTAAAAACCAAGAGCTGGGCACAGTATCTCATATCTGTAGGCCCAGTAACTCAGAAAGCTGAGGGACCTTGAGGGGAAAAATATAAAAAAACCTATAAGGTCAAAATTGATAGCTATGTGATATGTATCTGAAGTGAGAAAAAAAAAAAAAAAAGAAGAAAACAACATCTGGAAATACAGCACATCGCACTGTTTTTGTTTGCAAATATAGTACATCAATCTCCAGAATATCATCTGCATTTTCTCTTAATGTCAAAGAATAGTCACCAGACAAGACATAACGTGGCTTTGTTTGAAAGTTACACCATGCAACAAATTGAAGGGTAAGTTTAACTTTTCCAATTTCTAGTCAGCTGGAAACTATGTGAATAAAATGATTTTTAAATTGTTTTTGTCATTTACTTTTCACTCTGATGGGCCAGGCCTTAGCATAGTGGTTAAGGCAGCTGAATCCAAAATGGACAACCTTGTGGTTGAAGTCTCAGACCTGATATTTTGAGAAATAAACTGGGTATGTGTGCATGGGTGTCTAAAATCCCAAAAAGAGGAAAATGGAGAAGAGATTGTGATGTGGTCATTTCCCAGAAGGGATGCTTTCTCATTTTCTTTCTCTTTCTCTCTGTGTTTCTCCAGTGATTGTATGGGCCCTCAGATGATATTTTAAAAAATCAACTCTGATGTAAGTGTGGTTTCTTATACGTTAAAAAAAAGTGAACATTAAGGAAAGATTTTATTTACTTTATGGCAAATGAAAAGTATGTCTCTACTATAATACGTTTGGATTTCAATTTTCCTATATTCATCATCTTCGTGAATTTTAAAATGAGAACAGTAGTAAAAATATTCAACAGACAATTAAAAATCAAGAGCAACCAGTTGGATGGTGGTAGTGCAATGCTCTGCAGTAATAACCAGACTCACATGGAAGAGTCCTGAATTTAAGTCCTGAAGCCTCTCTGTGTGTACCAGGTGCAAGCTCCTCTGACAATGATCCAGGAGAGCTATGGTTGAAGAGCAGGTGAATGGATTGTTGCTTGAAGACCCTATTGGGGCCTCTTGTCTCTCTGTCTGTTTTCCTTCCTCTCTCAGAAGGAATGAATAAACAGAGATTTAAAAAATTGTTTTTCTTTGGTATTGTCAGATGGTGTGTGTTCTCACTAGTGAAAAAAATTAAATCAATCAATCAATAAATAAATAACAAGCAAACAAACAGAAAACACCGTTCCCCAGTGGCGAGTGAAAATGCCATAATTCTTTTGCCTTCATTGCTTTATCTCATCAGATGTAGAGTATGCACACACATGCATCCAGCATGTTCTTTAAGTCACACTAGTTAGGAGTCAAACTGAGGTAGGCCATGTGGGGGTCCTGCTACCCAAGCATAGCACTTATCCATTGGGAGAGGTGGTGGTCTGTGGCAGGTATTTTTTATTATAGAAAGTTTAGCTGAGAGAAAATAAAATAATGTCTTCTTTTTACTTACACAGTGAAATTCATCCACTTGAATACAACTTCACTATTGCCAAACCCAGAGCTACTTAGGAAATCATTATGCCCTGAGACACAAACAAGGATATAGTTCAAAGGAGTCTATTTTCATATGATGTTTCATTTATAATCTATAAACAAAAACTGAGATGGAAGGGCTGTCATCAAATTTGGATGTATACAGGATCCAGTTGAAGAACAAAACCGAAGTAACCATGTTTATATTGATGGGTTTCACAAATGATTTTGACATACAAGTCTTCCTATTTTTATTATTTCTAGCAATCTATATTTTTACTCTGGTAGGAAATTTGGGATTAATTGCATTGGTCATTGGGAATTCCCAGCTCCACAACCCGATGTACTATTTCCTGAGTGTTCTGTCATTCTTGGATGCCTGCTATTCTACAGTTGTCACCCCCAAAATGCTGGTAAATTTCCTGGCAGAGAATAAATCCATTTCTTATTATGGTTGTGCAGCTCAGATGCTTCTCTTTGTTACATTTGGGACCACGGAATGCTTTCTCTTGGCTGCCATGGCCTATGACCGCTATGTGGCAATCTACAACCCTCTCCTGTACTCGGTGAGCATGACACCCAGGGTCTATGTGCCGCTCATCATTGCTTCCTATGTTGGTGGAGTTTTACATGCAACTATACAAACCGTGGCCACTTTTAGCCTGTCCTTCTGTGCATCCAATGAAATTAGGCATGTCTTTTGTGACATCCCTCCTCTCCTTGCAATTTCCTGCTCTGACACTCACATAAACGAGCTTCTAGTCTTCTACCTTGTGGGCTCTATTGAGATAGTCACTATCCTGATTGTCCTGATCTCCTATGGTTTCATGATCTTGGCCATTCTAAGGATGCACTCTGCTGAAGGGAGGCGAAAAGTCTTCTCTACCTGTGGTTCTCATCTAACTGGGGTGTCCATTTATTACGGGACAATCTTTTTCACCTATTTGAGACCAAGTTCCAGCTATGCTTCAGAGCATGACATGATAGTGTCAATAATGTACACTGTTGTGATTCCCATGCTGAATCCTCTCATCTACAGTTTGAGGAACAAAGATGTCAAAGAAGCAGCACAAAAACTGTTCAGATAAATTGGGTCAATATCAATATATATTTTAACCTTATTATACCTGGAAAAAAGTTGAGTGTCAGTCTTTATCTTTAAGGCAAGAAACTAGTTAAAAGAATCTATTCGTTTTAGTTAATAGTATTTTTATCTCCTAGAATATTTCCAAATAGAGCATTAATCAGCTTTCCACTATGGCATTTTCAACTTTAAATAAATTGTGTCTCCTTTGTACTGATTATTTGGTTCCAAGATATTGATAATAAACCTTATTTATTCTAAATATATCTTTGTTGTTGGTAATTGTGTAATTATTTTTTAATGTAGTATTACTTCAAGTTATGTCTTCAGGATCCTACAAATTGATAAATTCTCACATTGCTGTTAGTCAGTCTTCAGCATTCTTTATGGAGTTACTGCCCCATTGTAGAATTCATAAGAATTCCCAAATGTTACTTTATTTTCATTAAACATAGTCTCACACATTGAGATCCAACAAGCTTCTGAATATATATATATTTTTTTACTGTGTTTATTTCTATACTACAAGTTTTCTTCCACTAATTTCTTTTCTTGACACATTCCAGTCTCAGAAATTTATCAGCTTCATTCTCCAGCTATCACATTTATGGAAAAGTGTTTTCAAGTCTTATGAACAATGAAATTATAGTCTAGAAAAAAAACAAGCAAACAATATTATATTGACTATTCCAAGACTTGAAAAATTAGCCTGTCTTTGGAGCTTCCTCTGATGCTAGATCCTTGCTCAGATTCTAACATGACTTTCTCTCTATAAGAAATAGTCTATAATTTGTATTTTTTATTCCTCAAAATTTATATGTAATGAGGAAGCCCAGAGATGGGAAATTATCTTACTTCACCTCTACTCACATTCATTTCTTATATATTCTGCTTTATTTGATTTTGTTCCAACATTTATTTATTCAAAGAATCATTAAGAGTGCAAATTGTGTTCTCTTTCAATGTAACCACCTTTCCTTGGAAAGGTTTTTGCTATAGGGCACGTGCACTCGCCAGACAGACAGACAGAGACAGAGAGACAGAAAGTGAGAAATCACCCCCCAGGGGGGATGGCCACACCACAATCCCTTCTTCTCCATTCTCCTCTCGGGATCTAGGGCACGCACGCATACACGTCCGGCATGAGTTTAAGCCACCGGGTCCGGACTCGAACCACAGTCGACTACATGGGAGTCCAGCGACATAGCCATTACACTAATTGGTGGTCCCTCCCTCAGCATATTTTCTTATGAATTCTTCCAAATGATCCCATCAGAACATAGTAAGCAAAACAATTGGCTTTGTTTTTATTAGTATTTACTATTTTTTAATGAGAAAGAGAATGCAGGAGAAAGAGAGAGAGAGAGGGAAAAAGGTATTCATGACATGATTTTACCTTGGCAATTCTTTCACCCAGCCCCCACTTAGCTTAGATTACCTGTGTACATTAATGTACCTGGCCTGTTCATTTTCCTCTTTTAGCCATACCTGGGTCTCCCATATGGTTCCAAAAGAGCTTAGCCAAATAGGTTTAGTTTTTGTTTTGTTTTTGTTTTTGTTTTTTTAATCTAACACAGTATGTATGTGTGTTAGAGTGCATGTGTGCCAAAAATGGAAATTGAGAAATGGAGGAATGCAATATGACCACTCTCCATTGGGAAAGGCGCTTTATCTCTATTTCTGGCATTAAACAAAAAATTAAACATAAACTGTGAATTTTTAATCCAAACCAGTAATTTTTAGATATTGATTTCTAATCATTCATGTTCATTCATGCAAAGAAGAGAGAACCCAGTTATCTCTGTTGGAAAAGCCAAATATTTCTTAAGCAAAATTAATACTCAAAATTCATGTTTAAAGGAATAAACAATTATTTATATTGAGAGACACAACACTGACTATGTTGAAAATGCAGCTCTATCTTTAAAAAATTGTCCCAGCTATGGTGGAACACACTGCTGAGACGCTGAGCTCTGTAGTCTGGTACCACCTGGGAAGCATGTGTTCAAATTCTGTTCCAGTAGTGGTGCTATGTGCCTGAAATTCTACCAACTTGGGATCAAGTTACTTTCTGTAAATTATATCTCAGTTATTAGTAATTGTGTAATTAAATTTTGTTAACTATAACTAGAAATACATCCTCAGGATCCTACAGATTGATTAAACTCAGATATTGCTTATACAATGTCTTCAGCATTCGTTATGGAGTTATTTCTCCATTCTAAAATCTTTAAGAATCTCCAAATGTTATTTTATTTTCACTAAATATGCCCACACACTTAAAGATCCATCAGGTGTCTTAATATTCTTTTCATTATGTTAATCTTATAGTACAAAAGACAGGATGTTTGCAACCTGGCAAACAGAGTTCAAAACAACTACAGAAAGCTATCTGAACCTGCAGCATCTTAAAATACAGATTTAAGTTTATGATATTTTAATGATGATTTTCAGGAAGAAAAAGGAATATCTAGTGTAAAAATGTGACACATATCCAGCTCTTATAACATTTAACATTTCTAAAGCATTCCTGGCTCATTTGGGGGATTTCCTACCTGTCAAGTCAGGTTTTGAAAATTGTCAAAGGCAAAATGTTAGTGAAGATTATACATTAGTTTTTTTGTTTTGTTCTTTAAACAACGACAAAAAAAAAGGACAGAGCTATTTATTTTGAGACACAACACTGACTATGTTGAAAATGAGATTTTATCTTTAAAAAATTGGCCTATCCTCTATTGTTTGAGAAAGGAAGATGTGAGCGCTGAGTGTAGTGATGCACAGACACATGCCTGAAAATTATCCAGTTAATGCTTTCAGCATATTCATCTAGAATTGATATCAAATTAACCTGCTTGGAAAGTCTTCTATCCTTTTCATCCTAGTAAATTAGAAAACAAATGGGAAGAGTAACTGTCTACCGTGACCTGTTATTTGTCCAGATCACTATGGGAGAATGATGTTTTAATTCTCCAATTATTATAATTCCACATCTCATGTTAGAGTTCAATTATCTTTTCCTCAAAATTTTTTTTTTACTTGCCCTGTCTCCAAAAGTCCTCTCTTTAACATGCTTAATACAGTTGTCATTTAATGTGTGTTGTTATGAGCTGATTATTATCTTAATCTACCACAATGCTTTTGCAATAACTAGCATTAATTCAGGCATTATGTTTATTTATCGAAACATTTTGTCCCCAAGATCTAAAACAGTATCTAGAATTTATAATTTACTGAGGTAAGTAATTTACAGTGAGCCTAAGTATTAACTTAACACATAAAATTAACATTAATATGCAGTTTATTAGGTACTAGACAATTATATAAATGGTTTAGATATATTAATGATAGAAATCTAAAAATGACATCAATAACTTTTTGTGTGTTACTTATCACAAATATTACAGTCCAAATTGGACAATACTTAAATAAAGGGACAAAATCAATAAGTTTTCTATATCTTAGTTTATTTAGTGTTGCTCTAATAAAATATCTGAAATTGAGCTCTTTATTTAAAAAAACAATATTTTCTCCTAGTCCCAATGACTGGGAAAGTCTATTATCATGCACTGAATTATTTAGTTTCTGTTGAGTCTTCTTGCTGTGTCTTCATGGTAGAAGGCAGGGCCTCATATGGCAGAAGGCAGAAGTAGAAGAGAGCAACGTAGCCCAAAAGACACAAAATGTCCCTTTTTTCTTTTCTTTCCTTTTTTTAAATTAGTTTATTTGCTTATTTATTTATTTATTTATTTATTTATTTATTTATTTATTTATTAGAGGTTTTCACTTTAGGGCTTGTGCACTTACTGGAAGAAGAGAGACAGAAACAGTAAGAGGTAAAGTGAGAAACCACTCCCCTTTGGGATTGGCGATGCTACAATCCCTTCTCCATTTTCCTCCATTCTGCTCCTGGGATCTTAGATATGTAACCACATGCATCCAGCATGAGTCAAGCCACTTAGTCTAGGCCACTATGGTTGGTCATGTGGGAATTCAATGACGTAACCCCTGTGCCAACTGCTGGCTCTGTGCAAAATGTCTTTTATAAGGGCTTTAATCTCATTAAAGTGGAAGGGGTCCTCATGACCTAATCACTCTTAAACGCTTTATATCTTAATAATATCACATTGACATCACGTGAGGTTGGGAGGATATTTTAATAATTGAATACTTCCACCTCTGGTCCCTTAAAATTTATATCCTTTTTACATTTTTAAAAATATGCATTCATTTCATTTCAGAACCCCCGCAAAATTTAACTTAGTCCAACATTAACCTAAATGTCTAAAGTCTAAAGAGTTGTTTAAATTACATGAATGGCACTCTATGAAAAATTCATCCCAAGGCAATTTTTTTTTAATCTGTGAGCTGTTAAACAAGTGAAGTGCTTCCAAAATATGATGGTGGAACAGACATAGGATAATCAATCCCATTTGAAATGGGAGAAAAAAGAAATCAGCAAGAAGTAACAGGTCCCATGTAAGTCTAAAACCCAACAGAGAAAATAACATCAAATTTTAAGGCTGGATAATAACCTCTGACTCTAGGTCTCATGTTCTCAAAACACTGAATCAGTGTGGCGAGTGAGGGATGTGGGCCCTCTAGGCCTCAGGCATCTTTATTCTCGTAGTTTTCCTGGTCACAAATTATGCTGTAGCTCACATGGATTAAAATTGCATACCTGCCCTTTCCCAGGTAGGTGCTGCATGCTGGTGACTCTATTGTTCTGAGTTCTTTGTAGTGCCTCTGTCCCCCTGGGCTGATACTTCAACCACTTTGATCATATCAATACTGAAGAAGAAAAAAAAAAAAACATAGGAATTAGAACTGATACTTTAAGAATAGCATAATGTTTAAGTCACTGGACTCCCATGTAGTCAACTGGCGGTTCAAGTCCCAGACACAATGGCTTAAAATTTACACCAGGCCCGGGGAGAACCAGCAGTTAGCGTAATGTCTATGTCGCTGCACTCCCACGTAGTCGACCACAGTTCGTGTCCCGGACCC